GATGGCTAACCACTAGATTTCTTTCCTGATATGCACCTGAATATTCAGAATATTTGCCTGTTTCAGGGCTGGATAAAGAGGAAAAGGAATCACCATCTATTGAGTCATTCCATATCTCTAAATATGTAGGAACCTTGTGACCTAAGCTCCTTTCAAACTTGTCCATGCTGTTTTTCTCCGAGTCCTTGATTTCGGTAATTACTTCTACTTGGCCATCAGCAGTAATTAGTCCAGATTCTTGGTGATTCTGTTTACTCCAGTCATCTTGAGTCTCCTTCTGACGCCCAGTATTGGGTTCATGATCCCAAGAAAGCTGTGCAGCCGAAGAATCATTGAGGTCAGGACTTGATGCACTGGAATGTGAATACTCACTAGAAACACTCTCTCTGTCATAATTTCCTGAAGAACTGGGTCCTGGAGGCCTGTTTTCAGCACTCTTACCTTCAAGATTTGTAGTTATCTCAGAACTTGTGCAACTGACCTGCACATCACTGTCTGTAGGGCCATCCCAAACATCAAGGCTTAGGGGACATGCAGGAGGTGGCTCTTGGTTCACTTTCTCTGGCCCCAGAATGTTAAATTCTTCAGTTATCTCAAGATCCATTTCAGGTAAAGATACATTTTTTGTTAAAGTCAGCTTATCTGAAATTTCAGTAGTTTCACCTGAATTTCTGTGATTCACGAGGTGCTTTTCACAGGTCTCTGCCTGTTGGTGGTCTGTGGACACATCTGTTTGCACATCACAGGGGTCTGAATTGTAAGATCCGTCCTCTTGCTCTAGAGCCTCCTGGGGTTCCTCAGTTTGAGGACTTGAAGTTACTGAATGAGAGCTGATTTTGCTTGACTCGTTGCAGATTTCTTCCTGTTCAGATACAACTAGGGGAGAGCATTCCTGGTCGCCTTGCTCTTTTCCAGAAGTTCCTAAGGCTCCATCCATCACCCCCTCCTCGCTCAGGTGATCCCTATCAACAGCTCTGTGGGTTTCTGTCTCACCCTCACTTTGTCCATAGCGAGGACCTTCCCAAGGATCTGAGCGTACAACATGCCCTGGATTCTCCAGCCTGGTTGTCAGGGATGCCGCCGTATCACCTGGCACGTCTCCTCTGCACGTGTTTTCCTCGTCTGGACCAAGTGCTCCTGATTCACTGGCTCCAGAGGCTTCTAGCACATCTGGGATGGTACTGTCCTTAATTTTTTCTGATGCACTGGGAGTTTCGGGAGGCACTCCGCTTTGTTCTGAATCTGTAACATACAATGGGCCTGGTCGCATTAATGATGACATGTCGTTATCTCTCATGACAGAATCCCAAATACTATTTGCGATGAGCTGTCCGCTCTTTTCATTCAGCACGTGATGTTCGCTGGGAGCGGTGTCCTTGCTGTGCTCATAAGAAGCAGGGCGTCCCCAGTCTGCCTGGGTTGCTTCCTGATACTCCGTGCCCCACGGTTCTAGCTGTCTCACTGAAAATCGGGTTTCGGGTTCGGTACCTTCAGCTGTGTGTCCCTGTGCTTGACCTTCACCAGGGATCGCCACACCTGCACTGCAGTCATCCCAGTCCAAATCGTTATCCGAGATGGTGGCAGTGGACTGAGTGTCCTCCAGAATCACTCTGTTCCACAAGTCGAGGTTGTCGGGGGCCGCCTGCCGGGAGTTGGTGCTGCTGTGCAGGAGCGTGAGCTGCCGGTTGGTTTCATTGTACAGCTGCATCATGCTGGGGTTGTCGTAACTGGACTGGCTGCTCTCCCCAACGTCCTCCTCCACGGAGACGTCCTTGTCATCTGTGGGCTCTGTCTTGAGTACCTCTTCCTCTGGGTTGTCAGTGGCATTTCTTTCAGAACTATTATCTGCATGAGGTGGAGCCCACATTTCCAGGTTCCCAGGACCTGAGCTAATTCGATGTCTAGGCGGCTGCAGTGGTGACTGAGGAGGGATTTCAGCCTCTTTCGCGGGAGAGTTAGCATCTTTTGACTCAAAACCTCCCTCATTAGCAAGTGGTTTCTTTTCGGTTTCTTTTTCATCTCCAGCAAATGTCGGTGATGTATAGGAATCGGAGGTGGAGTAGTTGGTATCTAAGGGGGAAGGCACCGAATCTTCCCCTATGTTGGAGGCACTGTAATCGGAACACTCATAGGACAGGAAGGAATCTTCCCAAGGAGCTAAGATGTCTGACCCTCTCTTCCTGATACTCTCCTCAAAAAGGTTCCACGAATCTACCTTTTCATAGAGTTTTCCCCTAATTTTTGGATCCATGCCACCATCCTGATCTTCCTTTGTGGGCTTAGAACTATTCCATGCGTGATCTGGATCAGACCTGGGGTCTCCAGGTATGAGGATGTCAGCCCTGGAGTCATGGTTCTTTTGGCCCCAGATCTCTGGAGCTGCTTCATTACTTGCCTCACGGGGCGACCTATCCACCAGGTCTTCTGCAGGAAAAGAATATCCACTTTTTGCCACGACCCACTCATTTGGGTCTCTCACAGAAGGTGACTCCCCACTCGTTGGGTGCAGATTCCAGGTATTTTTTAGAGCCTCAATGTCATCTTCTTTACCAAATGCACCCCAGGCTGGGAATGACACTGTAGCAGCTGGTTCACCACCATCCATGGGGTTGCCCCATGGCTCAGGCATTGCTGTGGGGGAGCGATCTGAGCGCCACAGAGCAGCAAAGTCTTCTATCAGATGGTTTGTTCCCTGAGGAGAGGCGTCTGGCAAATGTGACTTCTCAGTGGGCAGGTTCTGAAACTGCAAGCTTTCCTCATGTTGGTCTTGAATGTTCTTGTTGCCCAGCCCAGGCTGACCAAATTCTGACTCCCAGGCACCTGGCTTTGAGCATTCAAGACTCTTTGGTTGAAATATAGAATCGGAGGCTCTCCTATCCACAGGGCTTTGCTTATGATCTTTCCAGGACTCGGGGCTCTGGAAGATGGACTCCTGTTCACTGGAGCTCCACGTATCTGCAATAGTTTTAGAGTCAATTTCTAAACCACCCCACCAGCTGCTGCACCGCGCACGAGGCTGAGGTGGCCCTGTGTGACCTGCGTCGACTATTTTTGGGGCCATGTCTTCTGAACAGAGTAGAGCTGGGTCTTCAGTGGATGGTGAGCTTTCTACAAAGCTATTCATAGGTGTTGGTGGGACTCTCTTTCCAGGAGAAAGAGACTCCTCTCCCACAAAATTTGTCAGGCTCGAATTTCTTTGAGAGTTATCCCCGGGGCTTTCTTGTTGCTGGACAAACTCCTCATCAAATTCCACAAGGTTATCTTTGCCAGCCTCCGACAAAAGCGAGCTGGATGAATAATTAGACATGTTCATTCCCATCCCACTGAGTCCTTTAGGCCCCAAGGGAAGCTGTCCTTCTGACGAATCGCTGTTGGGGAAGAAGTCATCTGATGGGGAGTAGTCAGCAGAATGGGAAGATGGCTGGGACTGTCCAGAAACCATGGGTGTTCGGTCAAAGTTGAAGAGGTCAAAGTGTTCCCCATGTTCTCTGGACAGGGCATGCTCCTCCACCACTGCCCCTTCGGGGATGGGACTGTAGGACTCAAACCCTGGGAGGAGGCTATGGTGAGGCCCGGCAGCTTCTCCCACTGGACTGTCATCGCTGAGGAAAACCGAGCTCTCCTTGGACGAACGGCTGCTCCTAATGGTGGCCAACCCGCTGTCTGGGCTAACGAGGTCTGTGTTGACATCCACCTGGGCCTGGTTAGAATCGTTGAGATCTGGAGGGTTTTCTATGAAATTCACAGAGTTGGGCTGTGGCTCTATGTCAGAGCCATACAGCTCCATAATCCCAGACGACCCCTGGGAGAGGGGGGCGCTGCCTGCCACAGCTTCAGTGGAAGATGTCCGGCTGTTGGAGATCATCTCTGGACACCTCCGATTGATGACTTCCTTGACAAGGAGAACCACCTGGTCACAAGTCACGGCAGGGTTCTCCTGCTGGTACACCAGGATCTCATCACAGCCACATTCAAAGGGCTCCAGCTCTAGGCAAAGATTCTGACACTCTTCCAGCTCACAGCAAATCTGTTAGGGAAACACAGGGGGTTTGCATGAGCACTCAGGTACTCTCTGCTCTTTGCAACTCCTTTTTTCTTAATTTTTCTTAATATAAAATCAATCTGTGTTCATCTGTCTTTAAAGGAGAATTCAAATAACTGAAAATTGTATGATGCATGGAAAGTCCCACCAAACAGACCACCAACTCTTTCTCTAATCCTATCAAATTGGCTTTTTATTGAACTCAAAATGCAGGGGCTCACTTTTGCTGGATTCTGAGAGTTGTAGGAAAAGAGATCTAAAACCACATAAATCTTTTCCTTAGTGTAATATAACACCATCTTCCAACAGAAGTGGAAGTGTGAAAAAAAGGGCAAATTTTTTCAAATTTGAAAAACACACACAGAAATAATGCTGGTTGCTGACAAGGAGTAGTGGGAAAGCTCCCTGGTTTTAGGAAGTGTTGGGGATATTTTCACATGGGGCTTTTGAAATGGTCCCATCCGCAGCAGCAGAAGCAAGAACAATAATCATAAGTAACTACAGAGCTTGCATAGATAATAATAGTGATTAATAATGAGCATTTATTGAATGTTTTCCTGTGCCAAGCCCAGTTCTAAAGGTTTTATATGCATTATCTTCTTTAATCTTCATGACAATTCTACAAGGTAGGAACCGTTTTGACAATGAGTAAACGGAGACCCAGGACGATGAAATACCTTGACCAACCACATGCAGCTAACAAGTGAAGGAGCCACATTTTGAACTCAGACAGTCGAGCTGCAGATGCTGACCTGTGACTAACAGTGACCACAGGAACAAAGAGGGGTTCGTTAGGAGTTAGTAGTCCTGACTCTGTATTGCTCTAGGTTCCAAAGAGCTGTCTCTGGTGGGGAGGCTGGGTGAGGAAAGGAGAGGTGGGGTGGAGGCAGCCAAGGGCTTCTAACCCCTTCTTCTGCTCTTCTATGTTGGTCTTTTTAAAATTAACCTTTAAACAATTGATTTTCTACTAATTGTCTTGTGTAAAACCACCATACTGAAGGCTGAGGAGACCTAACTCCTGTCCATAGGAAAATAAAATTCAGCTTTGAAACCCAAGGCAGAACAAAGCACTGAAGAGGCCTCCTCAGGCTGATGACACAATGCACAGTATGGGTCAGAAAGAGGTACCAAATGCATCTGTAGCAGGGACAGGGGCCTCTTTCATATTTGGACATGAGAAAGCACAGGACAGCCTTATAGTCAAGAAAGCCTAGATAGGTCTCTGAAGACGGGAGCAAGGGTGCAGAAAAGTCGAGACTTTGCCCCTTGCCACCTGTGGATACACGAGGTGTCTAATCCATTAGCGAGGAAAGACTGGTTGATGAACCCATTCTAGGCCATGATATTCATATTATAATGAATCGTGTATGCTCTCATATTACTTATTGAATACACCTGGTTTGGTATTTTGATTAATTTTGTCTACATTTTATATACTTTCCATAGGCTTGTGTTAAAAGATTCAGCTCTCAACTGAGAGGGTCCAACTGATTACCCAATCAGAATTCTAGTACCTAGGGGCTAACTTTGATTAAAGCATCAAAGTTACTCAAAACTGGGCACCAAATAGGCATTCAGGCAGAGACTAAGAAAACAGCACCCAAAGGAAGACTGGCCCTCGTTTGGATAAGAAAGCTATAATCTATCCCCCTCTATGGATTCATTCCAGAAGACAATGGTTATGGGGTTCTTTTAAAAGGCCCAATGTACAAAATACCCCCCAACAATTCTTAAAACTCAAACTCTAGGACTTTTTCTCCTGGGACATTTTCCTTATGCCACCAATCCATTCCCATCCTCCACCACCTGCTCTGAGAGCAAGCAGGTCAGGATGCAGTGACACGTACCAGGGTTGGAGGAGATCCTTACCTGACTGCACAGCTCTAGGTTCTCGGAGTACACAGCAATCTGTCGTCTTGGCTGCTGCTCCTCTGACAGATAGCTGGCCAAGAGGATGAGGACATCAAAACCGAACTTGTCTGCAAATGCTTTCAAGTCACTGGTGATATTGCCGTGAAACACACAGTTCTGAAACAACAACAGGCAATTTGATATTAATGTCAAACTACTCAGCTTTGGGCGGTTTGCCACAAATTTGTCCAGTCCTATGCTGTATTGCGACAGAGATATATTATTAGACACAAGTGAAATAAACACTTCGAGGAAGTTAGGAAAGTTTCATGCGATGGCTTAAGACGTACCTTGCTTGTTTGTTTTCCTAAAACAAAGAAAGGAAGGAGCCTTTGCCGTGATTATTAAGAATAGTTTAGATAAGAAACAGATACCTTAATAAGATCTCTGTTTTCCCCCTAAAATATTATTCAAATACTGACTTTCATTTCAAATACTGACATTTTATCTTATTGATCCCAGGACATAGGAATGTCTGCTATTATTGCAACTTATCATTAGAAAAATAGCAAGTAGGAAATTATTGTTCTTTCCTGTAATGTTTTCTAATGATTATTATTAACTTCAAGCAGAATTCATAAGGATGAACCTAGCTGAGTTTACTGAATATTTTTTACCCCCCTTTTAAAAAATTGGACCTCTTACTATACATGTGTATTCAGTAGATGTCTAGAAGATTGTGTAAAGGCTGTGATGTCAGATCTGCTTGTTCTATGTGGGAATAAGGAGAAATGAATAACTGCAGAAAAGTCAACTGCTACCACGGAGTACCCAGACCTATGGCTCACCTTCTCGGAAAGTGTGCTGGCCTTTTCAAGTTTGATGAACTACAACGAGAACCATTTTGCTGGCATGGGTGCCTCTTTTTCTTAAAGAAACACAGTGAAGACCAATGCTTGGCATATACTAGTGGCTCAAGAAATGTCTATTGAATGGAGAGACACATATACAAAATCAACCTGTGCTACGTAATCCTCCATCACGGCATATATGTGGCATTACATATAATCGTTACATATAATCAATCAACTGACAGTGTATTGTGCTACTTGATGAAAATCACCATGATAATGCACTCAAGATGAAGAATTCCATTAATTTTTTTCTGATGACAAAAGTCATCAGAATTATACATGCCCTTGGTAAAGTATTAAAGCAATACCACATGAAGTGGAAGTGCCACATACCCCCTCCTCAGATAACTAGCTCAACAGCACAGTGCATATAGGTGCGGATTTGTTCATGCCCAGATTAATGTTTGTATGTTGTAGCTCTTTGAAATGTGTGGATATGATGTTTGTGGCTTAGACTATTTACTAGACTATTTAAAATATCCATATCACATGTCCTCTGATTCTACTGAGTTCACTCTCAAGTCTCTGAGCCCCTAAGAGGGTATAAGGGACACTTGGCAGATTTGTGGGCTCAGTCCATGACCAGCTTCCAAACCCCAAGGGGCCTTTGTTTTTTACTCCTGCGGCAGCCACTCTTATTAGGCATCTCACGAGGCCACTTTCATTCACTTTTTGGTTACAAGGAATTGCACATGGGAATTCACAAAGGCCTCAGAATATATTGCTGATGAATACCAAGGGTCTACTGTACTGACTTGCTAATAAAATCTACGATGTTCAAATACACTAGCTTTGGAAGCATGTGTTCCAAAATGCCTACTGTCAGCTTTGATGCTTTTTATTTATTGTCCAAGTGTCATATTAACAATTTTTAAACAGATACTTAAAAAATTAATTCACTCACAATCAAAGTAGATATTTGGAATAAACTTAAAAAATAAAACAGACCTCAGATTATACATGTGCATTCAATAGGTAAAATTATTTCAAATCATCCTTGGTGTTATCCATCAAGAGCCTCAATATTGAACTTTCGGCCAGATATGGTTCCAAAGGAAAACAAGAATGGACAGCAGCTACGTATATTTTATCTCCAGTGACTAAAGGCTTTAGCACAAGAAGCTTTACAATTTTCTTTTAAAATATATATGTATATATTTTTAGAGAGAGTGGAAGGGCGGGAAGGAAGGAGGGGGAGGAGCGGGGGAAGAAAGGGAAGGAGAGAGAGAAAAACATCAATGTGAGAAAGACACATCAATTGGTTGCCTCACACACACACACCCAACCGGGGGCAGGGGTTGAACCTGCAACACAGGTACGTGCCTTTGACCGGGAATCAAACCTGTGACCCTTTGGTGCATGGGCCAGTGCCCTAATCACTGAGCAACAGTGGCCAGGACCTTTCAAAATATTTTTAAATTATGTACATAAAACCCCAAAATGCATTTATAAACTCCTGAAAGAAGACACAACATTTCTAAGAGTCTGACACATAATAAAATTACCATGACACTCCCACTGGGTCACTCAAACAAGAGAGAGCAGATTTTGCTGGTATCTGAGGGCAAGATTAGGATTCAGTAGAATCAGCATTATGCAAAGCCATACAAGTGGAACATTTGCTATTCCAAGATGTTGGCTGAGCTCCAATCAATTGGGATTCTTCTGTGTTAAAATGACAGCTCTCGGATCTTGCTGGACTCAAGTCCAGGGCAGAGTCTCAGGCCACGCCCCAGATCTACTGAAGCAGAATCTGCCCTTTCCACAAATCCCAGGGGATGTGATGCACATGGAAATCCGAAAAGCACTGCTCTAGGGAGGTCTTAGTTAATTGGTATATTTTCCTATGAAGCAGTCCTTTGGGTTATCTCAGTGCTGTCCCGGGACTTACTGATTCACACCCTCAGGCCCTTGCTCCTCACACTATCCTCATCATAAAAATCAGCCTGCGGTGTGTAGTTCTGGGCTGCTTTGCATCTTCTCATTTAGCAGGTTGAGGATTAGCTCAAGAATCTGTATTTCATTATGTACCGCAAGTGATTCTTAGGCTAAACACCCTTGAGTAACACCCCCCCTCCCCCAGTTTTCCTCTGGGTGGCCCCAAATTCCACAGGATCAGATGCAGTATTGATAAAACAAAGATTCCTGGGACTCATTTAAGCATGTTAAAGAAACAAAATACTTAACCCCAAAACAGAGATCATCAACAACCTTGTCCTACCTATCCTAATAAAATTGTCCAGACCAGTGTCCACCCTACTGTCTTTAGGATAATGCCAGGAGTTTCATGTTTAAAACTGAATCAAACAAGGGAATGAGGGAGAATCTTCAGGAATCCGGGAGCAGAGGCTGTTTGTTCTGCTTTTATGCCGGTGCTGTTTGCATAGGAGATAATTTATTATTGTCTTCTAGCTACGCAGGGAGTCATGTGCTGCGGTGGCTCTTATGTTGCTGACAAGCTGGGCTGGCCCTGAATAAACAGCACTTCATCATCAACACAACCCAACTGTAGATACAGGTCGGCATTTCATTCCCCCCATTTGCCGTCTACCTGATAAATTACTGTTTTAGTTACGTGTATACAAATACTATTTGTTAATCTGCTCGAACGTCTCCAAAATGCTTCCCCCACCTTAAGTTAAAATTATATACATTTATATGTATGCATAGCCCACTCAGTTTTACCAAAGATTTAGAACACAAAGGGATCCTCCTTTAATTTACCATCTCCACCCCAAAACAGCCTTCCACATTTCAAATATGACCCAAGCTGGAGATGGCTGCATGGAATTTAGGAAGTTCCTTTACTAATTATTACAGCTGGGAACTGACAGGCAGAAATCCAGGCTATTTCCATTAGTTAGGAAGCATGGGATCCATCATTAAACATCTTAGAGGTCATGAGTCCTTTTGCTGTAGTAACTCAGTTTTGGAATGAGTAGGGAGGCCCAGAAATGGGAGAAAAAGGCTTTCTTATTTCCTGGCCAAAAGCTAAGGTGTAGATCTCAAGGGCCCTAAAAAGAGGTTGATGATCACAGTGACAAAGAGCAAGGAACAGAAATGATATAGCTCTACTTTAACCAATACAACAACCGAGAGAGTGACAGTGATATGTCCAATAGATTTACTGTATTTGTGGTTGAAAGTGTGTGAACAAATGCAGTGGAATTCCCATTCTCTCCTATTTAGTTCTCATTCCATTGCTCTGAAAAATTTAATCTTTATGCCATATGCTGGTAGCTTTGTGCATCACTTGAAATAAAAGTGATTTACTAATGTCTTATGAATATATGAGTACTTAAATGTGAATAGTCCTTGAGAGAGAAAAACCCACTCTTCTTACATTGTTTATTCATGGGTGGGCAAAAGTAGGGTTACAACTGTGAGTACGTGAAACAGAGTTTATTCTTGCATTATTACTTATTTATTGTTTCCTGAAGCCCTCCTGCTAGGTTTCCGCTCCCATCATTTTACTCAAGCTGCTGTTCTTTAAAGTTCCAAATCCAAAAATCACTCTCCCGTTCTCACTCTGACTTTTCCAAAGAATTCCATGAGGTTGACTCTCCCTCCTTCTTGAAACACTTAATTCCTTCACTTTCCTGACATCACATTCTCCTTGTTTTTCTACCATCTCATGGGCTGCTCCTCAGTCCCCTTTGCTGGTTTCTTTTTCTCAGCCAACCTCCAAATGTTCTCTATCCAGGCTGTTTCCAACTTTCTTCATTTACACATTCTCCCTGGCGATTTACCCAGTCACATGGCATTCAAACCATCTATCTGCCAGTGACAACCAAATCGACATCAGCTGAACGCTAACCTTGCCTATCCATGTGACATTTCCTTGTAAATGTCTAATAAGCATTTCAAATACAATACAACCTACCTCTGCCCCAGGTTCCTCCATATCATAAATGGCACCACCATCTATCAGTTACTCAAGCCAAATTCATAGGAATTATTCTTGATTCTTTCCTCATTCTTCATGCATCAGCAAATCCTGGTAACTTCACTTCTGAAACATAGCCCAAGTCCAAACATTCCTTCCTTTTCTCCATCTCTATTACTGTCGTAGCCACAGTCACCATCATCTCTTGCCTGGACTCTGGTGGCAGATCCCCAACTGGCCTTCCTGAAACTGCTCTTGTCTCCCTAATGTCAGTTCTCCACATAGCACCAAGAGAGAGCTTTTAAAAATGTAAATAGACTCATGATACTCTTCTGCTTAAAACCCAATCAAAAGTTTCTCAATGTAATTATTATTAT